TATTTGAGTAACACGCTTCTTTAAGAAGAAAATCTATATTATGGACGACGATTAGACTTCAAAATTTTAATAATTTTTATGGGAACTGTTTTTTGCTCCTCCTGAACATTTGTCATTTTTCGAGTTGTGACTCTTTTGTAGTTAGTGTGCGATATATTTCATTTTCATATATATATTCACACTCCAAAAGCTCTTATAAAAATATCTGTAGATAAAATTAAGATTTATTTGCTATAATGATGTTGAATTTTGAGGCTACGTTGTATCTCATAAAGTTATAAAAACTGATCCAAAAAAACTACGAACGGTAAAAAACTACCCACACCCCAAGAATGTGCGACTACTTAGAGAATTTTTAGGATTAACGAGATACTATAAAAAATTTATAGAAAATTATGCAACAATAGCTAAACTATTAACGAACACTTAAAGGGAGAAAATGGTGAAATATCGTAGTATATGTCCAAGTATTAATCTTAATCAAAATGTAATAGCTGCCTATGAAACTTTGAAGCAAACATTGCCAGAACAAATCGAAGTTCAATCACATTTTGAGAAAAATTTAATTTGAAGTACTGATGCGTCTAATATAACTGCACCTACAGTTTTTCAACCAAATTTCGTGAAAGAGAAAACATGTTTAAACAAGATAAAAATAAAAACCTAAAAAGTTGGTTATTTGAATTTTTCGCATAAATTTTGAGGTTATGCGAAAAAAGTCACAATACGACGGTTAAAGAGCTTTTCATTATCTGCAACATTCCTAACCCTTAAAAACTCAGCCACGGCCCTCTCCTTCATTTTCTCAGGTCAAGTATTAAATAATTTACCTAGTTCAGATGAGTCGAGGGACTCAACTGATTCCTTAATAGAAACTCAACATTCTACAGAAAGTAGCGATCAGTATCAAATTCACGAAACAAAAAAGCCATTGAATCATTTTAAGCAACAGATAATAATTGATAATGAGATGGAAGTATTTCCTACAGTAAAATTTGTATACACTAAACTGCAACAAATGTTATAATACGTTTTCAGAACCTGAAACAGTTCCTTCGTGGAAAGTGTTTTTGTCGAATGAAGAAGCTATTACAGCCGTAGACGGGTATTTTGCAGAGCTTCCGGAAAGTCATTATAGCGATGGCATAAAATTATTAGAGGATCGTTGGAATAAGTGTATTGAAATTAAGGGAAATTATGTTGAATAAAAAAATATATTTCGCACCAAAAACAGTATTTTTGCATTTCGAGCACAGAAACTTTTTCACCAACCTGTATAGTTATAGATAATGAACCAGGCTTAATTACACTATAGTTCAAGTCCTTAATGGAACGGTTAAATATACAAATTTATTACAGAATGTTGTATACCACGTCACAGTACTAGTCGTGAACAATTAGAAAGAATTCAGTCAACATTAATATAAATTTCAAGATGCTTAAAGCAAGAATTAAGCTTAAATACTAATTTTGAATTAATTGTTCAACAATATATTCAATTTATACATTCAGTAACAGATAAAAGACCTAGTAATATTTTATTTAATTAAGAAACCCACGTACATTTAAATTACATGTTACAATATCACAAGTACAGGTTTCATAAGGAAGAACTAATATGTAAAAAAACTTTTGGAGAAACGAATAAATTAAATCCTAAATATAATAAAATAAATAGTATTAGATGATTTAGGATATAAAGTTAAAATACGAAGGGGAAACAGAATAATTCATAAAGGCAATATTAAAGTTTAATTTAATTACTTCATAGGCAGAAAAAATATATTCAAATTTTGTTGATATATTTTCATATCATTGTAAGCATATCGGGCATAATTTATATACACTAAAAAGAAATCTTGTGTCTAATTGATGAGAAATATTAAAAAGCTTTCATAAAAAAAAAATATACATATATATATAAGAATATATAGACGAACGTATCGAATACAAAACAAACAAGTAAGGAAGACCTAAGTTCGGATGTGACCGAACATTTTATACTTTCGCAAAGTCAAATGGTATACACGTTTGAGATTTCTTTATGGATTGGCTGATATTTTCGGTAGAAGGTCAACTATAGGCACTGGGGTCCACATATTTAGTACTTAGGGGCTTGAACAGTTTTGGTTCGATTTAGACAATTTTTGGTCACAAGGTGGCATACTTTAAACGAATTATTGACGCAAACTGTTACCCCGATATAATCATTGTTGCTTGATATGCATAGTGGAAAGTGAAAGAATCAAGTGGAATTGAAAATGGTGTTATATGGGAAATAGACGTGGTTGTAGTCCGATTTCGCACTATAACATTCGCACTATAACATAGAAATATGAAAATAACGTTATGAACCGAAATTGGTTAAGCAGATCTCAAGATATGGGTTTTCACCTAAAAGTGGGTTGTGCCACGCCCACTGTCTAATTTTGAACGCGGTTCCTATAAAGTCATCTCGTACCACCCCAGAGATAAAATTTAATGTCTCTGGCGTGTTTAGTGCTTGATTTATCGCGCTTTTAGTAGTTTTTAACAGTACCGTTATATGGGGAGTGGGCGGAGTTGCCACCCGATTTCAACTATTTTCACACCGTCAATAGAAGTGCTAAAAACATTTGCTTCCAGTGAATTTTGTTATTATAGCATTAGGGGTTTAGAAGATATGCACATTAAACCTATTAGAGGCGGGACCACGTTCACTTAAAAATTTTTTTTTACTGCAGATGCCCCTCCCTAATGTGATCCTGTGTACCAAATAACAGTCTTGTATCTTATTGCAGAGCTTAGTTATGGAAAGTTATTTGTTTTTGATTAATGGCGTTTTGTGGGCGTGGCAGTGGTCCGATTACGCCCATCTGAAATACCAACCGTCTCACGGTACGAAGAAACATGTCTACCAAGATTCATAAAGATATCTCAATTTTTACTCAAGTTACGGACGGACGGACAGACAGTCACCCGGATTTCAACTCGTCTCTTCATCCTGATCATTTATGTATATCTAACTCGATTAGTTTTAGGTGATACAAACAACCGTTAGGTGAACAAAACTATTATACTCTGTAGCAACAGGTTGCGGGAGTATAAAAATACTAATGCATTAATGACTTATTGACGTAATATAATTAATAGATACGTAAAAATATAAATACAAATAAATTCATACCTATAATCGTTTTTAAAACAAATTCGATTAATAAAAACTATCTGAAATAATTATGTGGCAGTGCGCCCCTGACCCCTTCTTGCTTGCGATCGTTCAACTTGCTTCTCGCAAAAAGCAAGAAGGCGGACAAAAGTCACAGCTTGTGCGGGGCAAGAAGAAGCAAGCGTGTATTTAAGAATGTATGTGTGATTATCACATTTGTGTAAATGCGCATAATAAGAAGATAATCAATAAACCTAAACATATGAACATATTTTCCTGATATATTTTAGTTACTTATATCAGGAAGTAAAATATGCTATTAAAGAAATTGAATTATGCTATGCTTAGACTCCAATTAATAAAATTTAATTTACATGAGTTTTAGGATTCGAACCTATATGCTCGTATTCGAATTGAGCTTAACTCCTTCACGCTTACGACGTAAGCCACCACAAAAGTGGAAACGCAGCCGCTTAGCCTCCGTTTTATTGTTATCCTTTGTTCAATAAGCAATTACTCACACAACGCACATACATAAGTTGGAAAAATTGCCTATTAAATGTTTATTTTATTATGAATTCTGGGGTTTTTACCGGTAATACAGATTTTTAATTCAGAAGGGTTTTCATAATTATAAATTTTGTCATATCATAGAAATTGAAAACATAAACCTAAATAGGTATGCGCAACGATTTTTCATTTACTAATATTCGTTGTTTCTATTTATATCATTTCGCATATTGTGTGGTGTGTTTTTCTTTTTCGAAGTTATATTTTTCGATGTTCCCTCATCTGGAATTACAAATTAGTACTCAAAAAAAATTAATTTAACATTTGCTCCTTCTCTATTCATTGACGTTCTCTGGTGTTATATGAGAGAAGAGAAGCTAGCTTTGTTCGCGAGCTCAAGGCGTGGGGTCTAATGTGTTTGGGTTTACAAATACAATGTATTAGTAGATAAGTAAGGAAGGGCTAAGTTCGGGCAACAACAAAACAATAATTTCGTAATAACCATATTAATAATGTGTTAAATATTACGAAACATTATGTGAAGCGAAAAAACACAAAAGTCTATTAAGATCTCCTACAATGAAGGAACATTATTTGCGCAGTGCTTTCTATTTTTTCTCCCTATTTTCAGTTAAATTAAAGAGAATTCAAAATTACGTTTGTGGGAGTAGACGTGGTTGTAGTCCTATTCTCCCATTATCATATTGCTAATGTTGCAAATTATTTTTTGGAGAGAGTACACTTAAAATCTAGTAGAGGGCGGAGCGATAAAAACTTTTTACCACAAATGCTGATTAAGTTTCTTGACTGATCCGTTTGATGGGATTGACAATGGTTCGCAAGATATTTAAACATTTACGCAAATTACAACCAAGCAAAAGGACAGACAGGAATACGGAATCAGTTCGTCACTTCATCATGATTATTTTGATTTACATACATACTTATGTATATAACTCTATCTTTCCCAAATAATTTGAATATTAAAAACAACGGTTAGCTGAGTAAAACTCATACATATTACTTATCTTGTTGATTCTTTTACTTTCACCCGTACATAACTTTGCTTATTAGGTGTCCCAAAGTCGATGATATATTAATGAAATATTTTATTTAGAATTAAATTTAGTTTTTGTTTTAGCTTTAAAATGTACAGATGAGATTTTACCAAAAACTCCAGTTTATTCGTATATGTAAAGTAAATAAATAAATGTAAGTACACATGTTCGAACAAGTAATTCCTAATATATTATATATGTATGTATAACATTATGTATATACGAACATAGTATGTATGTATGGTAAGTATGTTCTTTCTTTGCCAACAAGTAAGGTAACTTACATTCACCGCGCCTCCGCGAATATTTAGCAGAATATCCAGATGTAAAGTCATCCATTTTGGCAATGTTTGGGTCTGTTACTTCAATTTCTGTGTCTACTTCCTTGTGTTCCTCATGAATATTTTCAATGTGTTCTTGGGATTGGTCGTTAGTATATGGAACTTCCACAATCTCGTAGATGGGTCTTTTAGTTTTCAATGGAGGAGTAAATATGTGTAGAAAATCACGAGCTTTAGCTTTTTTAACTGTATCTTCAGCGTATTTAGTAGAATCAGTTGATTTAATTACAGCGCTTTTAATAAAACGTAATTTTTGTTTAGCAGTATGAATTGAAGTATCAAAGCTTTGGGAGTCATAAATTCCTTTTAAAAAGTTTTCAGATTTTTGCTCTAAGCTTTCATTATGCACTATAAGCTTTTTTATAGATTGCGGCAAAGGAGGAGGCGAAGGTGGGCGAGCTTTAACTATTAAAAGTTCAATAGAAGTTTCGTATGATATGCGTGGTAAAGGTTCAAAGAAGCCAGGCATGCGATGAAAGTTAGGCGGTAAAGGCGGAGGAAGGTTTGAAGTTCCTCCGCCCTGATATGGCAAACTAATAAGGTTCGTTAAAGTATTAGACCATTGCTGTAAAGAAGCAGTATCCTTTATGTTAGTAACATTCATATTTGTAGATTTGCTATTATTTTCGTCTGAAGCTGCTGTAGTATTAATAATAAATTTGGATGATTCTGTATAAAAAGGAATATCACTTAAAGTAATTTTTTTACTGCTCGCTATTTCTGTAGGTGCCTCATTAATTTTTGTCAATGGCGGTGATAATAAATTTAGTGAGGGTTCGATTTGTGAATTATTTGATATTTCGCTATTCTTACCAACAGATCCATCGGATAACATTCTAGTACTGGATAAATCCTTACATTTATTAATTAATTCTATATGATCAGTTGATGCATTATACTGTTGGTTCAAAATTAAATTCTGTTCAATTAGCATTTTATCATTTGCATTATTTATGGAATCATCTATCTTTGCGGATATCAAAGCATTTTTTGTCCCCATATCGGTGGAGTCTGTATTTTCTTTCTCACATGATTCATAAGTTTTAGTAAGTAAGTGTTTATTTTCTTCAAATATTTTACTCTCAAAATGCTGTTTATTTCTGTTCTGCAGAAAATTAGTATGTTCTTCCAAGTATTTGGCCTTTTCTTCGTCACTTAAGTAGTAATCTTGGGCCACATCTGAGGCTTTTATTCCAGAATAGGGATTATGTGCCTCAGCCTTCTGCGGTAAGTGAAGAAGTAACTCATTTTCATGCAGTACTTGTGACGAATCTATACGCACATCATCAGCAAAATGTTCCTGCAATGCTGACTCATCATCTATGTACGAAACAATTTCTTGAAACCATCGTTCCCGAATATCTATTCTGTGAGGTTTTAATGTAATTGGCAGAAATGTTTTTTGCTTTTCTGCCTTTCCTGTTATGTATAACACATTTTCGACGATATTGTTCTCAATATTGCAATCTGGTAGTTTAATAATGCTTTGTAAAACAAAAATTGACCGTTCCTCATTTATTTTCCTTACATTAGTTATTAAAATCCTCGATTTAAATAAAAATAAATATCGATCGTGTGATTTTTGAGCAGAATCTGTTATAGTCCACCAATCGTGGTTTAGTAAACGTCCGATTTTATATATATTACCTCTATATCCTTCTATGCTAGATAAAAGTCTGTTATAAAATGCTCTATTAGGAACGCTAAGCATTAGTTCCAAGGCTTTTTGTAAGTCTTTAGTATTTTCAGACTCATTTTGTGAGTATTTTATTAATTCCTGAAATAAATTAAAAATACATAGTATTCTATGGCTAAAATTTTGCATTTTGTGTAACACATTTATGGTAACTTTAACAGAGAATTTATACAATGCATACTTGTATATATAAGAGATCCTGTATTGATCCTAAGCAGATCAAAATACCTCTTCTCATATCATTCATCTACATTATGAAATGTGCTATTTTAAGAACTAAGTCTGGAGAATCTGAGTGACTAACATTAAGCTTGGTTCTTATACTTAATCTATAAGAGTCATAGACAAGATTTTCCGTTACCAATTGTAAAAAAATGCTAAAATTTTTCGTGTAAATCTACCACACTTAAAATTGAATAGCTAGGAGCCATTTTACTTTTCCAATGTTTATCAAAGATTATACCTGCAATTGTTTTGAGTTTTTCATAACTGAATTTGACATATTGAAAACCGCACAGGAGACGCCAAAAATAATGCGGTAACATTTCTTATTAAAAGGGTATATAATATTATGTTGATATATACTTATGTACAAATGTACATAAATAGCTGGGAAAGTATATCTTTAATACCTTTCAAAAAGCAACATAAAAACAAGATAAATCTTTAACTTCCGCACCGAAGCTATAATACCCCTCACAGGTGCATTTAGTAAAGCTACTATGTATATGTAGGTTTAACTAAATCTGAAGACGTAACCAGCCGACGGTAACATAAAACGTTTTGCCAATTATTTCTAGACATATACAAGGGGCGTTCCAAAGTAAACAGGACTTAAAAAAAAAATACGGAATAAATGGTTTTATCGGCAAAATCAATGAATTTTATTCAAAATAGAAAGAATCTTCCGCTTTAATACAGCTTTTGCACGGTCCAAAAACATGTCGAACGAGTGTTTTAGCTCGTTGCCCGGTATGGCCGCCAGTATGCCGGGGCAAGCCTTTTGAATGGCCTCCACGTCTCTCATTCGCACGGTGCCATATCAGGTGAATACGGGTAGTGGTTGATTGTTAAAATGTGATTTTTGGTTAAAACTCCAAGGTAAAATACCGCATTTACGTTTTGGCCGGGTAGAACAAATTCTTTGTGGACAATACTCTTGGAATCATAAAAACAAATCAGCATTGTCTTCACTTTTGACTTCTCCAGGCGCGATTTTTTGGGTTTCGGATCGTCCGGCGCCTTCCGTTCAGCACTCTTGCATTCGGTTTCGGGATAATATTGAAAACACCACGTTTTGTCACCAGTCACAATCTTGTAAAGCAAGTTCGGGTCTTTTTTTGCCTCTTTAATAATGTCCTTCGAATGTTGAATTCTGAGCAATTTTTGGTCGTCAGTCAATTTGTGCGGAACAAACCGTGCACACAGCTTTTGCAAGCCCAAATGTTCGGTCAAATGCGATAAATCGATGTCTTGAAGATGTTCAATTCTATTTCCATTAATTTTAATGATGATTTCGGCGATTTTTTAAGACATCACACAAAGTTTCGATGGAATTTTCGGTGATCACGGATTTTGGTTGGCCCACATGTTCATCGTCATTTAGGTATGTCCTCACGACTACTTTCAAAACGTTGAAACCACTCGTGCACTCTGCTACGGGATAGGCAATCATCGCCATAAACTTGTTTCATCAATTGAAACGTTTCGTAAAACATACTGATATTTAAAACGCAATAACTTCCCTTCCAATAGATGAAATGTCATGAAATTTTTACTGGAAGTCGATAAAGTATAGCAGATTCTTACGCACTAGTCGACATATGGCTCCACTAGAGTTTACTTTGTTGCTTTTTTACTGTTTACTTTGAAACGCACCTTGTATACTACAATATATTGGTCCGAGCTGAACAATTCGTTCGAAAATTGCAGCCCAGCATTGGACAATAATATATGTTTGTTCAGGGCATAATTAAATGATCAATATCCTGATTAACACTTAAAACTGTTTATGCAGAATACAAAAGGATACTCCAGACATTAGTATATATGAATTAAATTTGCTTAAAAATAGGTCTCGGTCTAAGTCAGTCTCAGTCTCAGACTTCATTGTACCTAAATTTCTTTCTAGCGAGCATTAAAGACATTTGTTTTGACAGAAAAGGTCGATGTACGCGTTTGTATGAGTACGTTCGCCGCCTTTTTAGATTAGAGAGAAACAATGAAAGCAAAGAGTTCTTTGTTTGCGGCGATTCGTTGTTTCAGTATGAACTGTCACGTAAAGCGAGGAAAGTGGTATGTGAATAGGTCTTTAAAGTGTCGTCTAGTTCGATATTTTTCTTTGTACGATAATGCAGATTTATCTTGTGAATTCCGAAGTTCATTGCATTCAAAATCTACTTACGAATGGATGCTTCGCCTAGCTAAGGGCCCGGATAATAATAATAATAACCCAACGATTACCCTCCTCCCGCCCAACCGATGCGAGGGGCGCAATCCGCATACGTGCGGAATTAGCGGAGTCAGAAAAGGCAAGAGAGTTTTTTAAGTGTTGAGATCTAAAACTGCTCAGCTACAGAAACAAAAATTTCAACAGCCAAGATTTAAAGTTACAATACAATAAGTTGTTACATTTTCATTTATTAAGAGAAAACAATAAAGTCTTTTTAATATTGAAAAGTGAGTCAGATAAGTCAAATGTGCTGGAATGAGAATTAAAATCATGATATATACGGCGGAATGGCTCGTTTTTAGCAGTAAAGGTCTAAACTGCCTCGAAAGGCTAACCGGGATATTAAATTTAATTTCAGACAGGAGAAAAGAACTGCAAACTGTTCCATTCAAAATTTTCACTAAGAATATTATGCCAAGCATTTCCCTACGACTAGAAAGTGTAGGTAGATTAATAAGTTTTAAACGACTAGTGTATGGAGGTAGACTTACCCTAGAATCCCATCGGAAATGCGCTAAGGCGAAAAGTAAAAATTGTTTTTGAACAGACTCTAACTTGTCAGAATGGATTTGGTAGTTAGGGTTCCATACAACAGAGCCATATTCCAATATAGGTCTAATCAAAGTTGTATAAAGTGTTTTAGTAATATACTGATCTCTAAATTCTTTAGACCAACGTTTAACAAAACTGAGGACAGCTTTTGCTTTCAAGACCATGGTATCAATATGAAGACTAAAATTAGCCTTAGGGTCCATATTAACTCCCAAATCAACATAGCTAAAAACTTGCTCTAGAATATGGTGTTTTATTACATAAGAAGAGTGGTGCAGATCTACGGAAAAAGCACATCATCTTACATTTATTGAGATTCAATGGCAAATCATTTCTATCACAAAAAGAAACCAAATTGTTTAAGTCTGTTTGCAACAGACACCTTTCTTCAGTTGAAGTGTATGATTCAAAAAGCTTTACGTCGTCAGCGTATAATAAAATTTTTGAGAATTCTATTACTGAAGAGATATTGTTATTAAACAACAAGAACAGAATCGGGCCAAGATGACTACCTTGCGGAACACCCGAAGAAA